GGGGGGACAAAAACTTGCCTTGTAAGAATCCATAGGGACGGACACTTTATGAGTCTCAGACCAGATTTTCACAACATCAAGAGGTGGAGATTCATAGAACCCAAATAGCATAGGCCCAAGCTTTGACTGATTTAGCCCTTCCGTCTGACAGGAATCAGATTGAACCAACCCAAATTGTCACATATACACCAAAAAACTAAGTTGAAATGGAATGAAATCTAATTAACATCGGCCCACCTTTATAGACTGCACAAAAAAGGGGTTAGGTTCCAGAAGAAGTGAACTATTAGGACCGAGCTGTATATTCTCAGATCCGTATACCCCCAAAAAAATTGTCATGGACACTGTCACAATAAACGACAATGAGATTATTAACCATCAAACCATAACGATTACATGAGGAAAACAAATTATAAAAAAATGCAGAAATCTCATTTTAGTCCGTAAACCTTAAAATTAAGACTAAAAGTAGTTGCCAAGAAAAAAAAAAAAAAGGCTTGGTAGTCTCAGAACTCTTTGAAATTCCCCACAAGGCCTCTTGCATTTTCCGTTAAAATATTTATAAACTATTTCCGTTAAAATATTTAGAAACTAATACAGTTGCACTTAAATTCAAAAAGATTAACATAAAACTCAAAAAAGCTGCTCTAAATTTTAAACTTTATGACTAACACTAGACTTCTTTTTTTGTCATAGTTTAGCTACCGAGAATCAAAATGATTAGATACGAACCGAAGAACCAAAATGTGAGGAGGACGATGGCGCAGGACCAGGTATCTTCACCGATGGCCGCCGACACATCGTCGTCGAACAACCTGAAGTTTCCACGGAAAGAAGTTCCGATTTGTCGTTCCTCTGGTTCCGGATTTCGAAATTGATCGTGCGGCGGAAACCGACCGCCATGAGCCACCTCTTCGAGAACCTGTGAGGCGTTGGAAGACGACGTACCGGCCACAGAAGAATCCATATTAATTGAACCATGTTCTGGCTCTTCCTCCATTCTAAAATGTGTGAGAAAGAAGGAAGGTTAAACAGATAGAGAAGAAATTGTAGAGAAATCAAGTGAAAACCCTAACCCTTGGCCTAACACAGAGAAAGAGAAAACGCACCTAGAATTCGAAGGTCCATGGTCTAAGAGAGCGGAAGGTGAAGAAGAACTGGAAACTCACCGATCGGTCTTCTTTTTTTCGCCCAAAAGAATGGTGGTTGACGGTTTTGAAAGAGAGGCCGTTATTTGAAGAGAGACCGTTATTTGAAATGGGCCAATGGAGTTTCACACACTTTAATCGTGCTCAGAGGCCAAATTTGTAAATAGCTTGTCTTACGTGACGCCTGAGCATTGGTTGCAAAATAAGCCGGTTTGATTTATTAAGGACTTGTTTGTTTAACAATTTAAACTGTGGATATTTAAACTTTTTTGTTAAAACTGTAGAATTTGAACTATGCAGATTCAAACTGTGATTTGAACTCTTATTTGGACATACAAATAAATTCTAATTTAAATTAATAATAAAATCTGAAATGTGTTCGGATAAAGTGTTGAAAACTGTCATTAGAGTTTTGTAACAAATTTTATAAAACCGCATTATAAATAACATTAAAAAATATGCAATATGGGTAGGAATTTATTCTTCTTTTCATTATAAACGCATTAAAAAAAGTCATCCCAATCGAAATAAAAACAAATAAGTTATGACATTTTTAAGATTGAAATTGAAGATAGAGAAAAAGTATAATCTAGAACTATTAGACTATTGACAACAATTCAGATTGTTATAATTTAGGAGAAGGTGAATTCTAAAATCAACAATTTGAGTTGTCCTTGAACCATTGTTAGTGGTTTAAATTGTCCTTGAATTTTCCTCTCCCAAACACCAATTTGAATCCTAAACAACAGTTTGAGTTATTGAAATAAACCGGGGCTAAGTGGGTTTGAATTAAAATTTAAATTTTTATGAAAAAAAATACGGTAGCACTATAATTTAAACCCACTTTCCAAACAAACTCCAAGCTCACAGGTTTACCAAGGTAACAACATTTTTCTTCAGAAAGTTTCTTGGTAAGTCTTGAAAAAATGAAGTACCTAAAAGATCGCATTTTAAGTCTCAAATATGTATTAAAAATTATCTATTTTACATACTTTTTTAATTTAATGAGATTCTAATTAAATCTAATAATCAAAAACTGCCCTGATAAGGAGGCAAGAAAATCCATTTTTTAAGGAATTAACAAACAATTATTTATTTCTTCTTTCTCTTATCCATTAATCCAACAATTCTTCCTTAAATTATGTAAATGATTGTTTTTTAACGACCTTTGTTATAAATAGCAGAACTTTTTATTTTTTACATGGTCGAACTTTTTTATAATGATTATTTTGTGTTGTACTTAATCAGTAATTGATTATGATTCGATCATGAGTTAGTCATTGATAGACTGTTGATTAATTATTGATTGACTACTGTAGAAAAATAATCATATTCATAAAGTAAAAAAAAATAGCCACAGTAAAACTTCTATAAAATAATATAGTTGAGACTAAAAAAATATTATTTTAATCAAATTATTAATTTATCAATAAATGAATAATTTATTAGTTTATCGGTAAATAAATATTATTAATCTTAGAAGAGTTTATATTTTAGTGGTACGTGCAATTTTAGTACATGTATTATTCTTTTGACAAAAATTCATGCATGAGTTATAAATAAATTAAAAAAAGTGGACGTAGTCAATATTAATATGTAGAATTTCAAAAGTAATCATCTATGTAATAAATGTTATATACATGTACATAGAAGTCCAAAAATTAATGTAAGTTCATTACACATATAATAGTAATAAATACAAATATAGACATAAAATTGATGTACATAGACATAAAGTTATCAATTTATCAAACATTCATTTATTGAGATTTTTTACGGCATTTATTTAAAAAACAAAAAGTTCAGTCATTTATTTAAAAAGAAAATATGGTAAAAATGATCGTTTACCTAATTTTCCTATCATTAAGCTTACTTTGGTCTTGACTTTAAAAACACATTTCGAAATCTAAAATTCTTGCAACGTGAAAACGATACCAATAAAATTTGAAGATAACAAATATGATAAAATCCCAAACAACTAGTACAAAAATTCCCAAAATAATAGAGAAAGAAGAGAATTGTTATTATGTATTATGAGCAAATCTTGCCAAAAAAAAATAGTCAATTAAAAGGCAAAACTAAGCACTAATATAAAGTAAATTTAACTTGTTACATGTAAACTATTCCAAAAATTTTACTACATCTCAATTCCACTCTAGGAAAGATGCCATGTCATGTAATTATTATGAGAATTTTTCTAACTTGAATCCCTATCATTCTTGAAGACATGATCATGATTTTAGCAGGCGAACTAATGAAGCGGATTAGTGAATTGATGAACACAAATATATATGGGTTGGTTTATACAAATCACCAATACTAAAGGGCATTATATCGGTTTGATATTTTTTAAACACTCTAATGCTTCTTAGTTGATGACAATTTAGGTGCTGGAAGTTATGCGTTTAATTTATGACATTTTCTTTGGTTTAAAATGATTTTGTTTTTGTATGAAAATGAAAATGAAAACGTTTTCAATCTCAGACAGAAATCATTTTTAAAAATACGTCTGGTAATTTTATTAAGAGATTATTTTCAGTATAAAAAAACCCATTAATGTCTCTCTCTATCCGCTTGAGAGAGGAGAAAATGAAAACAAAAAATGAAAGGCCTGTTTGTTACCGTTTCTGTTTTCATTTTTCACGTTTTTCGAAGTAAAAAATTGAAAACAGGAATAAAAAACGCGTTTGGCGAAGTTTGTGTTAGAAAACAAAAACAAAAACGTTTTTGTCGTTTTGTGGAATTCTGAAAACGAAAAAAATCCGTTTTCATTTTCTGGTTTTCATTTTTGTTTTCCTTCTTTCTTCAGCCTCCCGTCCTCCCGTTCTCTCTTCTTCTGATTTTTTCTTCCTTCTTCAGCCGAGCTCTTCTTCCCGGTCGAGCCCCAGCGTTCTTCTCGCCCGTTTCGCCTTACTTTCGCCGTTTGCTTCTCACCCGAGCTCCTCCGTTCGCCTGAGCTCCTCCAATCCCTTGTTGCCCGATCTGTCCCGTTCTCATCTCGCCGTTTTCTCACCGAGGTATGCCCCTAGCTAAAAATGTTTGATGGTGTTTGATTTTCCGATCGATTTGGTTGAGCAATTTCTGATTTGTTTTTTTTTTTCCGTTTTGGTCCCATTCTCGTCTCGCCGTTTGATTTGCTATATTCAACCAAATCGGTTGCTAGTTTTTCGTTTGATTTAGTGTTGTTTTTGTTTCTAATTTTGCTATGCTTGATCTGATTTGATTTTTATTTTTATTTTTTTCCCCTGGAGGCCCCGTTGGGGCTGATACAGCCCCTGGGGGCTGATTATCAGCCCCAACCAATAGGGGCTGATTATCAGCCCCCATCAGCCTCAATGGGGGCTGAAAATTAGCCCCTCATCAGCCTCAATGGGGGCTGATTATCAGCCCTGATGGGGGCTGAAAATCAGCCCCCATCAGCCCCAATGAGGGCTGATAATCAACCCTGATGGGGGCTGAAAATCAGCCTCCATCTGAATGGGGGCTGATAATCAGCCCTGATGGGGGCTGATAATCACCCCCCATCAGCCCCCATCCGCCCCAATGGGGGCTGATAATCAGTCCCCATCAGTCCCTGCGTGTGTGTGTGTATATACTTTACCAATTGACATTTATTTTAATGATGAAAGTGTTATTTTAGATGTGTGATAAGGACGATAATACGAAATGGCCGGCCGCAATTGAGGATTTTTATGTAGAATTGATATACGGACAGTCAAAGACTGGGATGCAAACATCCACTATGGACAAAAAAATGTGGATGAAAATTGCTAATGAAATAGCACTTAAGTTTGGTAAGCATTTCACATCAGACCAGCTTAAAGCAAAGTGGAATAGGCTTAGACGTAGCACGAGGGAGTTTAATGCATTAATTGAAACAATAGGGTTTGGTTGAGATTCTGAGGCTAACACTGTCACAGCTTAAAAAGAAGTATGAGATTCATATGTGGCGGTAAGTTTTGAGCATTAACATCTTATGTTATATGAAAGAGTTGAATTGGTGTTTGGATTGGACATGAGTATTTACTCTTGTTTTCTTTATAATGTCAGAAACATCCTGAGGCTAAGAAATTCATGAAAGGGGGTTTGTAGAACTTTGCCAAACTTTCACATATTTTTTTTGGGATTATTGCTACTGGACAGGGGTCAATGAATGCACATACTGCCGTTAATGTTTTGAATGCGGCGAAAAGAGCAGCCACACAACCGGAAGAGGTGGAAGAGGGTACAGGGGACTCGGATGAAGTCCGGGGTGCAGAAGATAATAGAAACAGACGGTCTCAGGGTCCTACTACTCGATCCAAGAAGAAGGGCAAGAACAACAGTGCAGTTGACGCGGCTATAGAGGCTTTGGCAAAGAGTGCTACCCTACGTAGTGAGACATCTATTCAAAAGGTTGATTTGTTTCAGCAATATTTAGCTGATAGGTAAGCCCGTACTATGGCATTAGCCGAGGCTCAGAAAGAGGATCCAACTACAAGTATTGAAGCCTGTATGGATTTGCTGAATGGGTATGAGCCGTATTTAGATGACAATGCGTATAATAAGACAGCGCACCAGTTGGCTCTTAACATTTCCCTTAGGAGGATGTTTGTGAAAATGCCTGCTCATCGTCATCTTTCATGGATTCGAAGCATGTAGTTTATGTTGGTCTCCGGATCGAATCCGGATGCGGAAGTGCGGTGGTGCGGGGAAGAGGCGGATCGTGTATAACAAAAATTTTCATAAAACTTTTGAGATACTCTATAGATTATATTAATTTATGCACGAATAAATTAATCTCATTAACTTATATATATCAATAACTCAAACAGGAAAAATACCTGGAAGCCGACTCGGATGATAACTTGAGTTCTTTGACCACGAACAGTCCTTGCTCCAATCTTTGTGTTTAGAAAACCAATGTCTTCCACATCAATTCCTAGAATCCACGAAGACGTGTGTGTGGGCACACATGAGACAAAACGGGTTACAATAAACACTTGAATTTCCACAAACACCATCACATGCACGATGTGGAATTTTTTGAAGAAAAAATTTTTCCTTCCTTTTTCTCTTGAGAATTTCGGCCAGCCTTAAC